TTATTTATTTATTTATTTATTTATTTATTTATTTATTTATTTATTTAGTCAAGCAATTATAAGATAACAGGTATAAGTATAAACATAGTTATGAAAACATGAAATGGATACATATAAGAAAAATAAAAGAAACAATAGGACAGGGACGGTAGGCACATTGGTGCGCTTATGCACGCCCCCTACAGACCTCTTAGGAAAGGGGTGAGGTCAATAGTAGACAGTCTAAGGTTAAAGTTTTTGGGGTTTGGGGAAAAAAACCACAGAGTCAGGTAGAGTATTCCAGACATTGACCACTCTGTTGCTAAAGTCAAATTTCCTGCAATCAAGTTTGGTGCGGTTTACCTTGAGTTTGTATCTATTGTGTGCTCTTCTATTGTTATGGTTGAAGCTGATGTATTCATTGACAGGTAGAACATTGCAATATATAATTTTATGTACTATACTTAGATAGGACTGAAGGCGGTGTAGTTCTAGGTTTTCTAGGTCTAGAATTTCAAGTCTGGTGGCATAAGGTATTCTGCAACGAGTAGAGGAGTGTAGAACTCTTTTTGTGAAATATTTCTGGACTTTCTCAACTGTGATAATATCAGCTACGTAATGTGGGTTCCAGACTGATGAGCTATATTCAAGTATTGGTCTAGCAAACGTTTTGTATGCTCTAGTTAGTAGTGTGATATTACCAGAGAAAAAGCTACGCAGGATTAGGTTAACAACTCTTAATGCCTTTTTGGGTATGTAGTTACAGTGGGCTCTAGCACTTAGATCATTAGAGATGAATACTCCAAGGTCCTTGACAAAGTTTGGATCCTCAACAAGGTCTTGATTATTCAGCTTGTATTTTATTTTCTGATTTTTTTTGCCAATATGTAAGACAGAACATTTATTTGTTGAGATTTGAAGTTGCCATTTGTTTGACCATTCTGATACATAGTCGAGGTCTTTTTGAAGGGTAGCAGTATTGTCGGTGGTGTTGAATAGCTTTACATCATCAGCGAAGAGAACGCAGTTGCTCTTAATATGATCACAGAGGTCATTTATGTAGAGTATGAAGAGAGTTGGTCCTAGAACATTGTCTTAGGGGACACCACTGTTGACAGTTATAGAATTTGATAGGATGCTCCCAATTTTGACCATTTGTTGTCTGTTTGACAGGAATGCTTTTATCCAGTTATGAAGGTGTCCAGAGATACCATAAGATTTTAGTTTTAGGAGTAGTTTGTCGTGTACCACTGAATCAAAGGCTTTACAGAAGTCTATGTAAATTACATCTATTGCTTTGCCCTGATCGAGTTGTGTAGTCATATGTTTTTGCAGTGTAAGAATTGCAGATTATAGGATAGGTTTTTTTCTGAAACCAAATTGTTAGAGAGTAGGTTGTTTGTCTATAAGTGGAGGATAATGGATTGATTAATAATTTATTCCATGACTTTACAGGTGATGCAGCATAAGGAGATTGGTGTGTAATTTTCAACTAGGCTGGGGTCTCCCTTTTTGAAGATGGGGATAACCGTGGCTAGTGACCATTGGTTTGGCAAGGAGCTGGTCCTGAAAGATTTTTCAAAGATTATGCTTAGAGGTTCGGCTATGGCAGTGGATAGCTTTTTAAAGAAGTAGGCACATATTCCGTCTGGTCCAATGGATAGAAATGGTTTTAGATTGCATAGTGCTTTTTCAACATTGTCTTCTGTAAAATCGATATGTATTAGATCATTGTAGTTGTCTGTGGTTTGTCTAGGAAATACTTGGCATGATCCATTGCTGTTTACAAATACTGAGCCAAAGAATGTGTTAAAGAGGTTGGCTTTAATGGTGTCATTGTTGCAGTCTTTATCATTAGGTCCTCTCAGGGGTAGGATGGACCTTGAGTCTTGTAGTTTGTTGTTTACAAAATTGTAGAAAGCGTGGGTGGAATTGGTGTATAGAAGGTTTTCCTCTTGTTTAATGTGATAATTGGCGCATTCAGTCTTTATCTGGTGGCATCTTTATCTTTATCAGCTTTTGAAGTTGGCAATGTGACCAGATTTGTTTTTCCACCAAAGTGATTTCTTTTTTGATTGAAGCTTCCTTATTGTTATGGGTAATTTGTTTTTTCTGGTTTTGGAAGTTGTTATTGGTACATATAGTTTGATGATTCTTTTGACTTCAAGTAAAAATATGTTGTAATGGTCTTCAACAGTATTGCATCCAATGAATAGAAGTTGCCAATCAAGAGATAAGAGATTGTTGTCTATAAGATCATAGTTGCCTTTTTTGAAGTTATAATTGGGGATTACGTCATTGTGATGATTTTTGTGTGGACATATGTTGAGACAAAAGTCAATCATGTTGTGGTCACTGTTGGAAAAGGGTTCTTTAATTTGTATTCCATAAATTGAATTCAAACTATTGCAGAAGATGAGATTGAGGCAGTTGTTAAGTCTAGTATTGTTGGTTACTAGTTGTTCCAGTCCTAGTGTGGTAACAGCATTGTACAGGGCTGTATGAATGGATTCAGTTGTACATTCATTTATAAATTGTACATTTATAAATTGTACAGTTGTACATTCATTTATAAATTGGACAATTTATAAGAGATAAGTTGAGGTCACCAAGAAAAATGAGAGTGTGTGGGCAGGAGGCAGCCCATGTCAGTAGTGAAGTTAACTTGTTTGCATGAATTATATCACAGTCAGGGGCTCGATAGCAAAGAAGCGGATTGAGGTGTTTAAGGACAGTTCACAGACGATGGTCTCGGGAAGAGCAAGCTCTTGTATAATTAGGATCTCTTTTAGAGTTAGAGACTTTTTACAGAATATAGCAACTCCACCACCTCTATGGATTTCATGATCTGACCAAAAACTTGATATTATCTTGTAGTGGTAATGGAGTCTGGGAAAGATGCATTTAACCATGTCTCACAGCAAATATAATGCCAAATGTGGCTGAGCTTAGAAGGATGAGGAATTCATGCATTTTATTTGCGAGGCTTCTTGCATTTAAGATATGAAGTACTGGGTCTGGAGGAAGTAAGGGGCGTGCATCCCTAACGTTGGATGTTTGGGTGATGGATTTTGTGACGTGGGTTGAGGGTCTTGCTTTTGATACAGTCAGCATGGTAATCAATATATAGATTTGTATTACCTAATTCATGTAATCTTTTGAGCTCCCGGGATCGTACATGTTGTTGTAAGGTTAGATCAGGGTGAGAACGAAGGTACTAATGGTTGTTGTTGCTCTTTGTGAGTGAATTTATTGAGAAAATGAATTTGCGTTTGCTTGTTTCATTTTTGCAAACAACCCTGCAGAGGCGTGGGATCATCAAGCCATCTTTGTTTTTAAGCTCAGGACTGACACGGAATATATCAAGTATTTCTTCAGGGGAGATGGTTGATGCTTGATTTTCTTTGATGATGTTTCGAACGTTAGAGATGTGATCATTATCATTGACCTCTAGACCAAATAAGATGGCATTTGGTTGCTTCTGTTCACACTCAACGGTTTCTTTGATGAGGATGGGGATATCAATATTTGTAGGATTTTTTTTTTTTTTTGTGGATTGGGTTTTGGTTGTGGTTGTTGAGT